AGGCACTAAAGAATGAAAAAGATCTCTATGAAATGATTTGGAGAAAGCTACAGAGTGTATTGTTTTAATGAGAAAGGCAAAGGACAGAAGAGTGCACACAGTTATTTGCATAAGAAGTGTTATGTGGGGGGGAAGGGGAGTAAGAGTGGACATAAACATTTGCGAAACAGAACAATGAAAGAAAAAAGAAACTAGCAGCAACAGTATCCTATAGTGGGTACGGAGTTCAGGATAGAGACGAATGGGGTAGAACAAGAATTCTGTGTACAGTTTTCTATAGTTTTGGGATTTTTAATTATGTAAAGTTTTAAAACAAATAAACAATAAAATCTACTGCTCATTCCACACCAAGGATGCAGAAGTTTACGCACAAAATTAACAAAAGCATTTAACGCTGCTGTTTCATAATGTGTTCTAAAGAATACATTTTTTTAAAAAAAAGTGAAAATCATAAAGGTCTTCAAAAGCATACCTTTTTCATAATCCTCCATATTTTTTTAAAAAAATTTCCATTAGGAGAACTAGATTGGCATTAATGAATTTTGGTCTTATAAAATTATGCTATACAGAAAAATGGGATAATCAGAGAATTTAACTTGGTCATTATGAAAACATCCCTTTTAAAATCATGAACTGTATCTCTGAAAATGAACTTTATCTTTTCAAGTAAATGTCACTCTACTGTGACTCCAAAGACCATTCTACATTTCAAACATTTCTCAACATTCTAAAATAATGATAAATAACTCTTCTTCTAAAAGAGCAACACATTTGGGTTTCTGATTTTTGGTTCAATTTAAACACATCTTGAAAATGGTACATGGCGCCATACTAACCATTTCTATTTTTACATACCATTTTCCACATTTAGGCCTGATTCAAGGCTCTAGACAATGTGGCCCCAAAACACCTTTCTGTCCTACCACTGTTCTCTTTCCGACCAAAAGCAACTATTTCTGATTCTAAATATGCTGTCAGTTTAATGGGCTTACTTTTGTTCACAGCATTCCCATTCCTTCTGCCAAGAATAGTCTCCTCCAGTAACTCTACCCATCAGAATCCAGCCTGTCCTCTAAGGCTCACCTCCACGTTTTAATTAGCGGCAGGAATAGTCACAAGGCAGTTGTGACGGGCCAAGTGGCATAGGGGACAAGACAAGAGCTTTAGAGCCAGAGAAACTCGACTCGAAACCAAGGATCTGCTATTTATTATTGATTGTGCCTGAGACCTTGGACAAGTGACAACTTGTTCCTCATCCCTAAAATGGGGATAGCCTAATCTTGCAGGGCCGTGGTAAAGGCACACACTAGATTAACTACATTAACACTAGTTAACAGTAGTTAAAAACAGTTAACATAGTCCAAAGTCTGGCACACAATAGGTGCTTAATAAAGAGTGAGTGGTAGGAGTGGCGATATCAGTAGAAGTAAAACCTGTATGCGGGAAGCTCTTCTTGACCTCCTCAACCAGCTGGAGTTCTTTCCTTTTCTGAGCCCCATTCATTGTAACTCAGGTGGCTGCTTTAGATACAGACCAGCACTCCACTGCTCCTCCCGTGCCCTTCTCACCCCTGATCTGATACTGTAACTTTCCACCAACAGCAAACGCTTACTTGATACCATTACCACACACTTCCCATTCTCTTCTTACCCATTACCTTTTAAAACAAAATTTGTTCATGTTTATTTAATCATTTATGCAATAAATATTCATTAAGCAACTATTATTCCAATTAGGGCTCCTAGTATAGTTATTTGGTTGATCATGTTGTTCAACATTTTTATGTCTATTTTTTCCTGCTTATTCATTGAGTTACTAAGACTTGTAACATCTGCAACTATGACTGTAGATTATTTCTCTTTTTGCTTCTGCTAATTTATGCTTCCTCTGTTTAAAGCTATGTAATTATTTTTAGGATTGTTATGTTTTTTTACTTAATAGATTATTTTATCACTATAAAATGTCCCCCTTTTTTCCAAGTAAAACTTCTTCCTTTAAAATCTTTAGTTTGATACTAACACAGCCACAACACTTTCTATTGTTAAGTGTTCAGACGATATTCTTTTTTCTATCCTTTTACATTTAACACGTGTTTGTCTACTTTAGGTATGTCTCTTTTCATTTAGATGCCATTCCATGTCTTTAACTGGACTGTGTAGTCCATTTACATTTAATATAATTACTGATTTTGTGTGTATGCCTACCTTCCTCTTTATCCAGGCTTTGTTCTTTTATTCCTCCTTTCTTTTTTATTAATCAAGTATTTCTGTTGTACTACTTTACATTTAGTAGCTGTTTACTTTTTTAAAAATTGTGGTAAAAAACACATAACATAGAATTTACATCTTAACCATTTTGAAGTGTATAGTTCAGCAGTGCTAAGTATATTCACACTGTTGTGAAACTCATTACCTTTTATTATCCTTAAAAACAGCATCCCTCATATTTCCAAGCATGTTTTAACATATTTCCCATCCAGCCTCTACCACCCTAGCCTCTTTTGTGCATACATTTCAAGTGATATAATCGGGACAAGACAAGTCACACTGGGTGCATCTTGGGGGAACTTCAGGCATCTATTAGATTCAGCTAAACATAATCTGGGAGTTCCCAGATTATGCTCCATTTTGCTAGCAGGAGTGACGACCAGCTCTAGATAGGAAGTGTGCCCTCATGCTGGATTCTTCTGCCAACTCAGCTAGGTGTCCTGAGAGGGCAGCACCACGGTGGCTGAATAGAGGAGAATCAAAATTCAGGTGTCTTAATAGGAAGATATGAATCCTAAATTTTTCTCTGCTTCTAAATATATAACTTAAACCAGTTACTTAACCTCTCTGAATCTTCATGTCCTTTTATAAAGATGAGGATAACACATTGAACATAAACAGGGTTGCTGTAAAAACCAAATCAGATGATATACCTGAAAGCCTTTAACTTTGAAGCACCATAAAAATATAAGGTAATCATTATTATTTGCCCCACAGAGTTTGCAAGGAGGGAAAACAGATTTCTTTTTTTTTTTTTTTTTTTACAAGTACAGCTCAATTCACAGGAGTCTAAATCAATAATAAGCATTTCTAAATGACTGAATTAAGAATCAAGTTTATGCAAAGAATACCTCTACAAGATCCTTCCTTGGTCTCAACTTTAACAGGGGCTCACTGAGACGGATGGAACACATTCCACCCCTCCCTTCATAGCTGCATATCCCAGCACACCTGGAAAACAACCACCACAAGCGCGTTATTTACCAAATATACACAAAAGGGAAGCAGAGAGGAAAGAGCAAACCCAGATATCTTCTCGGGCAGTTGGCACTAAGAGATCTCCATGGCAGATGGCTTTCTTAAAAGTATACCCCCTTTGCTAGGAGATATTTGCATTTGACCCCAGTTAGGGAGATATGGGAACAGTAGTGGCTTCCCTTACCCTAACCAGGCTGCGACAGCTCAAAGATAGTCCTATTCTGCTGCCCCCAATCTCCTCCCTACAAACTATAATCAGTTTGTGGTGGTAACAGCCATTAGCACATCTACAAAATTACTAGAAGCCCATCTGAAGGAGATGCGCACTTTATAACCTTTCTTAATCTGTCTTATTTTAGGTTGTCTTGTATCAATTCAAAAAACAAGCACCGTAGCATACAACCGCATCTGCAACTTGCTAGCTCCGTTCAGATACAGGAACGGATTATTTCAAATCGAGATTTCTCCAATTTAGCGTGTAGGCAAGGAATGCTTTTAGAGGCATCCCTGAAGATCCCACGGGTCCAGAAATATGGAAACTTTAACCCCTGGCCCCTTCTAACACACGAGCTCACTCCTAAGCGGTGCTATCCTATGGGACACAGAAGAGGACGGCACACATCCAGTGGAGGTTTCACTGCGTCCTCACCATTCTTTCTTAGGGGCAGCCTCTGGCCGTTTCCCCCTGCTGGGTCCTTGATTTACTACGCAAATCAAGTCCTAACTGTGCTCATTTGTTTTCAAGGGAGGTGAGATTCAAGAAAACATCCTCTTCCCTCTCTGTGTCCCTTCTAAGCCAAACCGTAGAGAGGTGGGCCACACGGCTTTCTTAAAGTCGTCTGGGCTGGAGAGGAGCAGGGCAGGGAGCAATACAGCGAGCGGAGCCGCCTGGTTCAGAACCAGACGCCCTCGTTTAACGCTCCCTGGGCCGTCGGGGCGGAGAAAGAAGAGAAGCCCAGGGCCGGGGGCTGCGGAAGAGCTGCCCGCCGCCTCTTTTCCCAGGGGGCTCGGGACTCACATGGTCATTCGCATGCTCCACTTCACCTCGACGGCCTCCAGCTGGCCCCAGAAGAACCGGTCGTTGAACTGCACAAACAGGGCCTGCAAATCCGGGGTGGGGTCCACCAACTCCCAGGACGCGTCCACCAGCGACAGGGGCTCCTGGGCCTGATCGCGCCCCGAGACCTGCAAGTTCCACTCCTCGTGAAGCCGTAGCGCCAAAACCAGGTCCTCATCCATCGCTGCCACGATCCCGGCGACGTCCGCCGGCGTTGGGGTCGCTGTCGGGGGAGGCCGCAACTCCAGGCCCAGAGGTCCGAGCGCCGGGCGGGGCTCCCAGGAGATACCGGCTCTCGAGTCAGCAGGCCGATGTCGCGAGAACTCAGGGAAAACTGGCGCGAGAACGAGAACTGAGCTTGCCCCAAAGGCCGAAGCCGAGATTCTGGGACTTAAAAAAAAGTCATCAGCATGACACCCCCTAGGGGACTCAAAACTTGGATTCCCATGGCTTGGGCGGGAGGAAGGCTTCAGAAAGCCGGTTATCGGCTTTACTTTGAAACACCAACGCTACGCTCGGCCCATGCGCAGTACCTACGCCTCTCTGCGTCGCCCTCCACTCGCTTCCGCAATAGCTCCTCCGACGCACGCGCTCTAGGCCGCTGGCGTTCCTACGCAGGCGTATTATCTGCGCTCGGCCCCTCGCGCAGGCGCAGTGTCTAAAGCTCAGACTTGGACCCAGGCGTACTCGTCTCTCTCCCAGCCAGTTCCTCAGCCGTGGAGCTCGGTCGGGTTTGGGTGGGTCTGGACAGCGGCGGCACCGGTAGCAGCGATAGTGACAGTGACCGCGTGAGGCCCGGACGGAAATGGTGATGGCGATGTCGGACAGTGGGGCGAGCCGCCTGCGGCGACAGCTGGAGTCGGGGGGCTTCGAGGCGCGGCTGTACGTGAAGCAGCTCTCGCAGCAGTCGGACGGGGACCGAGACCTGCAGGAGCACCGGCAGCGCATCCAGGCGCTGGCGGAGGAGACGGCGCAGAACCTGAAGCGCAACGTCTACCAGAACTACCGGCAGTTCATCGAGACGGCCCGCGAGATCTCCTACCTGGAGAGCGAGATGTATCAGCTCAGCCACCTGCTGACCGAGCAGAAGAGCAGCCTGGAGAGCATCCCGCTCACCCTGCTGCCGGCTGCTGCCGCCGCTGGCGCCGCCGCGGCCTCCGGAGGGGAGGAGGGAGGAGGCGGCGCGGGCGGCCGAGACCCCCTCCGCGGCCAGGCTGGCTTCTTTCCCGCTCCCGGGGGCGCCTCCCGCGACAGTTCCGGTCCGGGCGAGGAAGGAAAGCAGCGCACTCTCACCACTCTGCTTGAGAAGGTGGAAGGCTGCAGGCACCTGCTGGAAACGCCGGGACAGTACCTGGTGTACAACGGGGACCTGGTGGAATACGATGCGGACCACATGGCCCAGCTGCAGCGGGTACACGGCTTTCTCATGAACGACTGTCTGCTGGTGGCCACCTGGCTGCCACAGCGGCGGGGGATGTACCGCTACGACGCCCTCTATGCCCTAGATGGTTTGGCTGTGGTCAACGTCAAGGACAACCCGCCCATGAAGGACATGTTCAAGCTGCTAATGTTTCCCGAGAGCCGTATTTTTCAGGCAGAAAATGCTAAAATCAAACGAGAGTGGCTGGAAGTGCTGGAGGAAACCAAGAGGGCCCTCAGTGAAAAAAGACGAAGGGAGCAGGAGGAGGCAGCGGCCCCTCGAGGGCCACCCCAGGTGGCTTCCAAGGCCAGTAACCCATTCGAGGATGAAGACGACGACGAGCCAGCTGCTCCTGAGGTAGAGGAAGAGAAGGTGGACCTGTCAATGGAATGGATCCAGGAGCTGCCTGAAGACCTGGATGTCTCTATTGCCCAGAGGGACTTTGAAGGGGCCGTCGACCTGCTGGATAAGTTGAACCATTACCTGGAAGATAAGCCCAGCCCCCCTCCTGTAAAAGAACTAAGGGCCAAAGTGGATGAGCGTGTGCGACAGCTCACCGAGGTGCTAGTTTTTGAACTCTCCCCAGATCGTTCCCTGAGGGGTGGTCCCAAGGCCACTCGCAGGGCAGTTTCTCAACTAATCCGGCTTGGCCAGTGCACGAAGGCTTGTGAGCTGTTTTTGAGAAACAGGGCAGCAGCTGTGCATACTGCCATCCGTCAGCTTCGCATCGAAGGTGCCACTTTACTGTACATTCATAAGCTATGCCACGTCTTCTTTACCAGCCTTCTTGAGACTGCGAGGGAATTCGAGACGGATTTTGCAGGCACTGACAGTGGCTGCTACTCCGCCTTTGTGGTCTGGGCGAGATCAGCCATGGGCATGTTTGTGGATGCTTTTAGCAAGCAGGTGTTTGACAGTAAGGAGAGCCTCTCCACAGCAGCTGAGTGTGTAAAAGTGGCGAAGGAGCATTGTCAGCAGCTGGGGGACATCGGACTAGACCTCACCTTCGTCATCCATGCCCTTCTGGTGAAAGACATCCAAGGGGCCTTGCACAGTTACAAAGAGATCATAATCGAAGCCACTAAACATCGCAACTCTGAGGAGATGTGGAGGAGGATGAACTTGATGACCCCAGAGGCCCTGGGTAAGCTCAAAGAGGAGATGAAGAGTTGTGGGGTGAGTAACTTTGAGCAGTACACCGGGGATGACTGCTGGGTGAACCTCAGTTACACAGTGGTGGCCTTTACCAAGCAGACCATGGGCTTCTTGGAAGAGGCATTGAAGCTGTATTTCCCCGAGCTGCACATGGTGCTTTTGGAGAGCCTGGTGGAAATCATTTTGGTTGCTGTTCAGCACGTGGATTACAGTCTTCGGTGTGAGCAGGATCCAGAGAAGAAGGCTTTTATCAGACAAAATGCATCCTTTCTTTATGAAACAGTCCTCCCCGTGGTGGAGAAAAGGTTTGAAGAAGGTGTGGGGAAACCTGCCAAGCAGCTCCAGGACCTGAGGAATGCGTCTAGACTTATTCGTGTGAATCCTGAAAGTACCACGTCAGTGGTCTGATGCTTGGATCTGTTTATATGCATACGTATATATTGCTTATATATTATTTATATTTATATTAAGTTGCATTAGCATATTCTTTATAGTCTCAAACACAGCTTAAAAATAAAAGATGTCCTCTCAGAAAGGCAAAATCAAAAGGAGAAAGAAAAAAATGTTAAATTAAGCCAAAATAACAAAAACATTGGAATTATTAAAATATTTAATATGCTTTCCTTTTAAATTACACCCACTCTCTAATGAATATATTATCACATTATAGCATTTCAGCTTATCCTTTGAGTCAAAATACACCTTCTCACAGTATATATTATGCAGCACAGAGAAATAACATCTATAAATACATAGAGTCTATGTTGTGAAAAGTTTCCCAATTCACTAAAATGTTAGGTTTCTTAAAGGATACAATGCCATATAAAATACCGTTTCATATACTTCCTTAAAATGCTTAATATACTTCACCTTAAAATGTGATTGAACAATTTGGGGAAACGGAAAGAGGAGTTGAAGAATTTGGTTTCAGGGTAAATTTCGGTCAAAAGAATACATTCTTGAGAGTAGCTAGTGTGTGGACTCAAATACTCCTCGATCCTTCTAGAATACAAGAGGAAGCGTGCATGAAAACAGTTCAGATGTTTCCACTGTAATTTGCACAGCTACTGATTTTCAGCTGCTAAGTAGCAGCCTTGTAGTATTTGATGTGGGAGCCTTTACTTGAAAATCTTAAGGAGTGTGATAAATATTTTTTTTCAACATATTCGTGAATTGTGTGAATTTCCAGCTGGAGCTTTGTCTTTTCATATAAAAATAATAAAAAACAGGACGCATTCAGGAACCTGGCGGCAGCAGTGGTTTTTAGCTGCCCTCCCCCACTGTCAGTGTAAGTTACAGAGTGGCTCAGACTCCTGCCAGTGGGGAAAAGTTTTCATTGAAAGATTTATTTCGATTTCAGCGTCTGGGTGGATGGGAAATTAGAAAAAAGCCTGTGCAAACCGCAGTGTTCCCTGTATGACTGCTTTGGGCGGAGGTTTGTGTTTATTTTTTTGTAACAAAGTGGAGATCAGAAAGGTGAGACAATGTTCCCACGCGAAGGATGGGAGGAACCTCCCTGACTCCCGTTGAAATGCTCCAGGCCGCAGTTTTCTTGTTTCAGTTTTTATTTTCCTTGCTCTGTTTTTAAAGTGAGTATAATGCTTACTTCAGATCGTTTAGTAAAACAAAAATAACTAAAGACGTTTGAGCTTCCCAGGGTTCTAACCTATTGCTTTTACTGTACACTGATGGTGTAACATTCCTCATACTTGGAGAGAAATCGTGCTAAGATCTGTTTCTTCCCTGGCTTCTAGTTGTGATTCCTGTCCTAAGTGCCATTTCTGATGCTGATGACTTCAAAAGGTCATTTCTTTTATCTGAATACAAATAGTGGTATTAAGACTGTGGAAATTATGTAAAACCTAAAATAGCTGGCAAATGGTGGCTTAGGGAGGGTCGTAGAGCTCCTTGACTTAAGGACTCAGATGCCAGCTGAGCCCTTTTATTTTCTTTTTAGCTATGCATATTTAAAAGGCTGAAAATGATCAAAGTTACAGATTTTCTTTGATTTTTTCGTATAACTTTAGGGTTTTCTCGATAATAGCCATAACTGGATATTTCAGCTAGTCAAAAACAGTTATCATTTGTCATTTTTAAGATCACTGGAAACTTGAATATGATCAAAATTTTGTGATTACTTTGTGCCACTTACAGTTTCTGAAATTATATTGTATGAAACACTTACTGTGTAAATATTTGATGCTGGGTCCATGAAATGATACTTCTGAAATCAAAACTTCTCTGAAGGCGTGAAGTTGTAAAAACGTAAATGTGTATGCCAGATATGTCTGCTTTTTAAAACTGGAAGTACAGAATTTTCTTCTGTTAGAATTTGTTCCTCAATCAAAGTTGTAGCCGAAGGAAGTAGCTTTTGGTGAATCAATTAGTGTGGGAAGTTGATTAAAGACCACCCGTGTCGTAATGTCCCTTTTCACCAAGACAGAGCAATGACGTTGCGTTCCTCAAAGTGAGTCACAGCTCTTCTGATTCCTGTTTCATCAGACTCCCAAACAAGTCCTAAAAATTGAATGCAGTTACAGATTGTCCAAAAATATAGCACATACTGTAATATACCACTTGAGCGTCAATTGCCTTTTCTTGTCTTCTTGAAATATAACACTCGCTTGAGCTTGGAATCATAGACTTGATTGGAATAATTACTGTTGAAAAAAGACACCCTGTGGAATTAAGTATCTTTTTGATTAAAGCCTCATTTCATTAAGTGCTGAAGACGTACTTATTTTTGTGTAAAATGCTACCTATCATTACATGATCAGCACTTGTATCTTGCAACTGGCTTACGCAGGATTGGGAATTTGGGCCTTGACGTGGAGAATAAAATCAGCCTGTGTACATTTTGCTATTGATATGCTGTGATATGAGGGAATCTGAAATGTTTTATCAAAATAAAGCTTAAAATTTTTCTTACACTGGATGAAATTGACTGATATTACAATGTTATATCTATTTCTCTTCTTCATCAGAATTTAATATTCTTATGCAGTTGCTACTGAAATACTGTTTTACGAGTCTATGTTGTGTTTTTGTTTTGTTTTCCTATATGGAGATGATAGATAGGAAGCTGTTAGCTAATTTATGTAAGTGTGTTCTTATTCTTATCAGAATTGTGAATAAATCAGGTCTCAGTTTTTTTGGGATTTTCTTGAATGGGAAACTTCAGATATGCCAAATGTGAATTTACTTAAAAAGTGGATTTTATACCGTCTGCACATCCCTAAATGAGGAAAATATAATGTAGAATATGTGACTTAGGAACTAGGATCATAAATGACAAGGGTCTGGTTTTTTTAAATAATAGGTAGATAGGGAACTGTCACATATAATTGATTTAAAAGAATTTTTATTGAATGCTATGCCTCACATTGACTATAATGTGGGGTGAGGAGGACAAAATACATTTAAGCATACTTTCTCTTGAGATGCTTAGAAAGTGGAAAAACTAGAGAATAAAAAATTGGAAGAAATAAATTAGAGAGTAAATGCAAAACAGTGTGTTGCAAATTAAATTAATTTAAATAATTGAATGCAAATAGTGCGTTGCAAAAAAAGAAACACTCAGCGGGTTGTGTTAAGTACTGTGGGATACTGAGAGGGAAGAGAGCAGGATTGTTTTGAGCAGTTGGAAAAGTCCTCGCGGAATTGTTGGCATTTGAGCTGATCCTTGGAGAAGGGACAAGATTTAGATGTTGGAAGAAAAAGGAAGAGCATGACAGGAGCAAAGACAGAAAGGGGGGCTCGGGAGGCATATGTGCGACGTGCTCGAATGGCGGGCAGAGAGGGCGGCGGACGGTTTTGTTAAAGTAACGTTGCTGTCACAGAGCCATAGCAGATGTTTTCAATATTAGAGGAAAGAAGCGTTATGTAAGCAATTCATGCTTATTCAGAAAGCTTCAATCCCCGCAGAGGGGTGTGAAGTAAAAAATCGGAGTCATCCCACCTCCCCAGGCCCCAGCAACCCCACTCCCCAGGGGCAACCCCTGGTAAGAGTTCCTGCTACATTTTTTCCCCAGAAATTGGATCATACCTACATACTGTTCAGCATCTTGCTTGTATTCACTTACCACATTCAGTACTTTTCAGATTCTTCTTACATTGGTACCTATAGTGGTACCTCCCTGGGTTTGTTTTTTTCTGATTGCATAGTGGTCAGTCACAATGGATGAGTCTATCACGATTTTGCACTTTCCAATTACGTTGTTGGCTTCGGGTTTTTGTGATTACAAAGAATCCTGAAAAGAATGCCCTGTACATAGATCTTCGCTTACATCTGGGAATAGTTCTATAGGATGTATTTCTAGAAATTGCTGTGCCAGATCATACATTTTAAATTTAGGTAAACGTTGTCAAATCACTCCACAGGCAGGCTGCACTATTTTACATTGTCCCAACAGCATGGAAAAATTCGTTTCCCCAGATGCTCATCAGCATGTATTCATTCACTTTTTAATAATAAGATCATTCTTATTAGTAACGAGATTTATTCATTTTTACTAATCTTATCTGTGAAAAAAGTGTCTCGGCTTTTTGGTAATTTTTGTAAAGTCGAGCAACTTTGTGTATTTCTTTTTTATTAAGCTACTTATGTCCTTTGCTATTTGTTTCGTAGATTATCTTTGTATTAGGATCTTGTGGGGATTTATTGTCATTTATGAAATTCGTCCTGTGTACTAAGTGTTGTCGATTTTTCCTAGTTTGTCGTTTATTTATTCATTTTTTTTTAGTACAGTAAATTTTAATCTGTTATGAAGCCAGATTTATCTAGGCTTTTTCTTTGTGACTTCTGTTTCCCATCAGGCTTAGAAAGGCCTTATCTAATCTCAGATTCTAAAACCATTCAGGGCCAGCCCCAGTAGTCTAGTGGTTAAGTTCAGCACTCTCCTCTTTGGCGGCCCAGGACCTACACCACTTGTCTGTTGGTGGCCATTCTGTGGTGGTGGCTCATATTAAAAAAGAGGACTGTTGGCAACAGATGTTAGCACAGGGCGAATCTTCCTCAGCAAAAAAAAAAAAAAAAGAAGATTGGCAACGGATTTTAACTCAGTGTGAATCTCAGCAAAAAAATAAAAACATTCAATTGTTTTACTTCTAGTAACTTATTTTAATATTTGAATTTATGCTCCATCTATAATTCATTGTAAAGAATGAGGTAAGGACCCCATATTCCTACAAATAATTATCAAGTTGTTGCCACAATTTTGAATCATCCTTCTTTTTCCCCACTGACTTGAAATGCCATCTTAATATGTTTATACTAGATGTGTATCTGGGTACATTTTTGGGCTCTATGTTCTATTTCACTGATATTTCTATTTCTGTGCTATTATCAAGCTGTTTTAATTAACTGTAGATTTATAACATAATTTAATAACTGGTCGGACTGGTCTCATTCTTCTGCTGTTTCAGGTTTTTCCTAAGTATTCTCACGTATTTATTATTCAGGTTGCATTTTGAATAATTTTATGACGTTCTCTACTATGCCCTAAAAGAATTGGCATTTTGATTGAAATCATATTG